AGTTCTTATGAGGGTAATGCTAGGACTCTGTTTTCAGTTTTCAACAAACTAATTCAACCCCCCAACGCTTTACCACCGCACTTCTATTCCTCTGAAACATGCAACTCCTTGATGCTGTTCTGGACTACGAAAATCGATAACATCCACCAGCAACTCAGATCAAATGTTGTGTCTACGCCCTCTCCAGAACCTTTTCTCCTTTTTGAGCCGTTTTCCACTTTTCATCTTCCTGATTTATCTGATATTTCCGAGTTAATATGTAAATCAAACCCTGCCACATGTCATCTTGACCCCATGCCCACGGGGCTTGTGAAATTCTGCCTCTCTTCTTTACTCCCACTCATCTGTGCTATCATTCACTCTTCTCTCACCACCGGTATCGTTCCCTCCTTATTGAAGACTGCTCTAGTCACTCCTATACTGAAAAAACCTTCTTTAGATCCTAACAACTTTAACAACCTCCGTCCGATTTCCAATCTACCCTTCATTTCTAAGATACTCGAAAAAGTGGTTGCAGCTCAACTTCATTTACACCTGGTTAATAATAACATCTATGAGAGATTTCAATCTGGTTTTCGCTCATGTCACAGTACCGAAACTGCTCTACTTAAAGTCACTAACGATCTCTTAATCGGAGCTGACTCTGGTCTTCTCACCATTCTCGTCCTTTTAGATCTGAGCTCAGCCTTTGACACCATTTCTCACTCTGTCCTTCTAAGCAGACTTTCCTCTCTCGGCATCTCTGACACACCCCTCGCCTGGTTTCAATCATATCTCCTCGACCGTTCCCAGTTTATTCAACTAAGATCATTCCGCTCTCGTCTATTCCCCGTCACCTCTGGTGTACCCCAAGGCTCAGTTTTAGGCCCTCTTCTCTTTATAATATACATCCTCCCTCTAGGTACCATCTTCCGCAAATTTGATCTTCAGTTTCACTGTTTTGCTGATGACACCCAGTTATATCTCTCTTGCAAACCTGATTCCTCCCTCCCACCTTCTTCCCTTACAGAATGTCTATCCGAGTTAAAATCCTGGTTTACCTCTAATTTTCTAAAGCTCAATGAGGATAAAACTGAGATCCTCCTTATTGGCACCAAATCCAACCTTTTGAATGCAAACCATTTCTCACTCACCATCAATAACTCCACAGTTCTCCCTTCTCCTCAGGTTAAGAGCCTTGGTGTCATCCTAGACAGTTCACTTTCTTATAAATCACACATCAATAACCTCACCCGTTCTGCCTACTTCCATCTACGTAACATTAACAGATTGCTTCCTTCTCTTTCCACCCAGTCTACGTCCATTCTTGTACATAGTCTTGTTACCTCCCGTATTGACTACTGCAATTCTCTTCTGCATGGTCTCCTCCAAAAATCCCTCCATAAGCTTCAACTGGTTCAGAACTCTGCTGCTCGCATTATCACCAGAACCCCCTCCTACCTGCACATCACCCCTGTTCTTCAGGAACTTCACTGGCTCCCTGTGAAATTCCGGATAATTTTCAAACTTCTTCTGCTCACCTTCAAGGCCCTTCATAACCTCGCTCCTTCTTACCTTTCTGACCTGTTAACCACCACTTGTTCTGCCCGTTCACTTCGTTCTTCTTCTTCTGTCCAGCTTACTGTACCTTCCTTCCGCCTCACCACCATGGGAAGCAGAGCTTTCAGCTGCTCTGCTGAAATAAGAAATATTGGTTCTCTCCCCCAGTTTAAATCCCAACTCAAAACTCATCTGTTCAAATCTGCATATTCACTGTGAATCCACTGTTTGTTCATTTTATCTTGTGCTTTATTTTATTGTTCTTATTCTGCCATTGTTTTACTAAGTGTTTTATCCTATTGTAAAGTGTCCTTGGGTGACTTGAAAGGCGCTCATAAATAAAATTTATTATTATTATTATTATTATTTTTAAAAAGTAACTAAGTAACTAAGTAATTAATTACCTTTGAAAATAAGTAATCAGTAAAGTAACAGGATTACTTTTTTGGGGAAGTAATCAGTAATTAGTTACTTTTTTTTATGTAACTTGACCAACACTGATTGCGATGCACAGTTACTCACAATTACGTCACAAAAAAAGTAACTGTGCGATGCAAAAACAGTACAATGAGAATTTAGAATGTTTCCTTTCTTACTTGTTTGAGTTATTTATTTAATCTAAATTCATATTCTCTCTCTCTCTCTCTCACTCTCTCGTGTTTTCTTTAATGAACTACTGTGATAAATTTTTAAGAAGAATGAATGGCACGTGGTTCATTAGAATTAAGTCAGATGTCCTGCTCTAGAAGTGACATCTCCAGTTTCATTATTCACTGATGACTCCTCTACTTCTGGATCACCTATCAGTGCATTGAAAATATTTTGAAACCACCATTACTAAAATTTAACCTTGACTTCATTAATGTCAATCTAGTTAACACAAACGTTAAACAGTAACAGTTAACTCACATTGTTTTGCTGGTGTAACCGTATTTATATGATTCCAGTTTTGTTATCTATGCATTTTTCTACACGTTACTGACTCCATGGCGCCCTCTTAGAGGTAATGTCAGACACAATACTGTGTACAATTACTGTGCATTAACATCCATGTATCTACTATACTGGAATATTTAAAAACACTATAAATTATTGACATATTCATTAAATTGCAATTCCATTTTATTTATATAGTGAAAAGTTTTAACCTTTGGGTCTTGGAGGGTTGAGCTTGGCCTGCTATGATTGATGTAGGAAGCTCTTTGCCCAACTAATTAACATTCCCAAGACCACCATGTGGTCTTGGGAATGTTAATTAATAAGGGGATGCAGATAAGCAAATCATCAGGGATCTTTATTCTCAGCAGGATTATTGAGGTCAAGGATGGCCTTGTCACCTCGTAAAAATCCAACGGGCAAGGGACAGGCCGAAGGGGAGGATAGCAAACTGATGCACACTTCCCAAAAGGTGAAATGCAGAAACCTTCTGTGTTCAAAATGAACTGGCACATGGAAGTAAGCATCATTGAGGACTAAGGTGAACCACTCTCCTGGAGTGATGGTCTTCAGGACATATAGTATCTGGAATCAAGAAGTAAGTGGAATAAAATCCCTTGCTCATTAATCCCGTGTTCTGATTGCACTATTGTGATAGCCCTTTTGTAGCATATTTCCTATGACAAGCCCAGTGTCTTCACAGAGTGTGACAGAAGTCACTTTCTCTGAAAAGGGTGAGATCGATGACGAAACTGCAGCTTGTACCCCCGGGACATTGTTATCAAAACCCACTTATAAGGCCTCTCATCTCTCACTGAGAATGGCAAAACACTGCAATTAATTAGACAAAGTGTGTCTCAGGTGCCCCACTAACTTGATATCTTGTTGCCAACCAAGCAAGTGTTTGCTTAGGCAATCCAGACAAGAATTCCAGCAAGCTGCAGGAGGTCACCTGAAACTTCCACTAACTTACTTATGTCAGTATACTTAAATGTGTTAAATTCTAATACCTGAGAATACCTTAAACCTAGCTGTTCACAGCGTTCTCAGGGAGAGCAATATTGAAAGATATTGAGAGACCTGTAGCTTGCTACTGTCAACAACCTTCTACTGCTTAGAAGTATTTCTTATTTGGCTTTCTCCCACTAGGTTTATATCTGGGACTCTCCACCATTTGACCTTAGAACTGAAGAAGCTCCTTGGATGAGAGGTGAAACGTTTTCAAGTAACTTAAAGAAGTCCAGACGCCTTTCTTTGCAAGCTCCCTTGACTACGATGACCTGGATGACTGAGAACCCTCACAGACATATTTGGCTTTCTGTTTTTCTTCTTTTTTTTCACATATAGTGTACATACAGTGTAATGACTGTGAATGCTTCTATGCTGGTAATGTCAGGGCTTTGTGTGCGGGCAGGCAGAAATGAGGATCCAAATGCAGGACTCGAACACAGAATTGTAACTCAAAACCTCAACTTTATTGCTGGAGAAATTAAAACATGAACTGAACAAGGGTAGTGAACACGAAAATACTGACCACAGTATAAAACACACAGGCATAATCCGATGGTACAACAATGTGGCACTGAGGAAGGGCAAACACAGGGTTAATATACACAGGGAAGTAATCAGGGAATGGAAAACAGGAGGGAGACACAGCTGGGAGAGATTGGGGCTAACGAGTCAGGGGATCGAAGCTGGACACACTGACATAAGACACAATCCTTCAAAATAAAACAGGAAACAATACACACTAAACTAAGACACGGACTGGACAGAGAGAGACAGACTAGACACTGAACTAAACCAGCAATAAACATGAGAACACAAAACCTATCCCTAAACAAGAATAACTAAAACATAGATTAATAATCACCATCATCATCATCATCATCATCATAACCAACAAAAGCACCACAAGAGAATAAGAAAACAATCCATAATGCAAAAAACACACCAAAACATAACAACTCAAAATACTGGGTCAAACTGACCCAGAACCGTGACAGGTAAGGAGATGTCATTTCAGGACTTAAACCAGACTCTAAGAAATTGCTGTGTCTAATTTTGCGATGCTGCGAGTAACAAACTGGGTTCAGTTTGGAGGTTGAAGAAGAACTTTCCCTCGCCAGGCCGACAGCCGTCTGTGCCACAGTTTATCTCATCTCAGTTTATCTCATGCAGCGCAGGGCTAAATTTAAAATGATTAAATACTTAAGACAATGTATATTCTTCTATGACAAAAAATATGTGTTCATTTAAGCAAATAAACAGAGCCGTAAGAGATGTTTTTCAAAAATAGTTTTCTTTATTTTTATTTGCTGCTAACAAATCTTTTTAAAAGATTTGTAGCTTTTGTAGTGCTCCCTACTATGTGAACCCCTCACCAGAATGTTGAAGTTTTTTAGTTCAAGCAAATTAAACCCCAACAATCAAATGATCCCCTGTGAGCAAGCACTAGGCACAGTGGAAAGGAAAAACTCCCTTTAAACAGGAAGAAACCTTTGACAGAACCAGGCTCAGGAAGGGGCAGCCATCTGTCGCGACTGGTTGGGGGGTGAGAGGCAAAAAAAAAGAAAAATGAGAGCACAAGTTAGCTAAATGTTGCTCATGTTGTCTAACATGAACAACGTATGATTTTCTGGACTGTGGATGAAAAGCAGTCCATCATTACTAGTCTTTAAAAAGGGACTAATCGATCATCAAGGTAGGAATATGGCTCAAGGAGGCCACAGACAGAGTTAAATAGGCTATCACTATTAAGCTTTGAAAAGCCCCAGTAAGCTGCAGGTATAATAAGGCCTACTGCGGCAACGCCTAAACCTATTTTAAGTAGGCGTTTGGCACCATGACGCCATGAACCACTAGTCGGAACCACGTCAGGAGATGCTTCTGAGACAGGAGAATCAAGCTCTTCGGGTTGAGGACCAAGATTGTCCTGTGTCGGGACCACATCAGGAGATGGTTCTGAGGCAGGAGAAACAAGCTCCTCAGGTTCAGGAGCAAGATTGTCCTGTGTCGGGACCACATCAGGAGATGGTTCTGAGGCAGGAGAAACAAGCTCCTCGGGTTCAGGAGCAAGATTGTCCTGTGTCGGGACCATATCAGGAGATGGTTCTGAGGCAGGAGAAACAAGCTCCTCGGGTTCAGGGGCAAGATTCTCCTGTGTCGGGACCACATCAGGAGATGGTTCTGAGACAGGAGAAACAAGCTCCTCGGGTTCAGGAGCAAAATTCTCCTGTGTCGGGACCACATCAGGAGATGGTTCTGAGACAGGAGAAACAAGCTCCTCGGGTTCAGGAGCAAAATTCTCCAGCTGCAGAGGTTCACCAGTGATGTTGTGAACAGCAGCTAATATTTCTTCTTCCTCCTCCCGTCTCAGCTCATCCTTAAGATTATTAATTATTTCTCTTTTCATTTTAAGATGTTCATAAAGTTCATCTATGAGAGCTTTGTTATGAACAATCTTGAAATTTTGCTTTTTGACTTTTTCTTCCAGCCAAAATATTTGCAGTGTCAGACTTTCTGTTGTCCTTTCTTGATACTCAAGATTTTGCAAACGTTTCTTGAGATTTGTGTTTGCTGTTTTTAATTTGTCTATCTCAGCAGTAATGCTGCTGTTCTCCTTAAGGAAATATTCTTTTTTTTCATGAAAGTCACGGTGCATCCTCTGAATTGTGCTAACCTGCTCCTGCATTTTAGCCTCCAGAGATTTGACCTGCAACTGCTTTTCATCAAGTGTCTGTCTCACCTGACGCTGAAGAGTACAAATTTCTCTTTTCAGCTCAACTGTGAGTTCTGTCTTCCGAAATACTTTCCTATATTGTTTTTCTATTATCTCTTCTTTTTTTATTATTTCATGGTGAGCTTCTCCCACTTGCTGCTCAAGTCTCTCTAAAGAGTCCTTGAGATCTGTGTTCTGTCTCTTTAGCTCGTTTTTATCACTTTGAATCTGAGACAACTGAGCAGCAATGCTGCTGTTCTGCTCAATGAGAGATTCCGCCTTTTCCAAAAAGTCATGGTGCATTGTCTGAACGTACTTTTCCTGTTCCTGAAGTTTAGCCTCCAGAGATTCCACCTGTGTCTGATTTTCTTTAGCCTGAGCCTTCACGTGTTTAAGCTCATCTCTTGACTGATGGAAATGATCTTTATAATAATTCTTTTTGAGCTTCAGGGTGCTCAACTCCAACTGGAGTTGTTGAATTTTCATTTGAAGCTCCATAGGGTCAGGTATTTCTCTCTCCATCAACCCATACAGTCTTTGTGATTCCTCTCGAATCTCTCCGTCAGACTGTGAATTATTAAATGTTTCGTGTGACATTTCTTTAAACGTTTTAATGCAAAGTGTCACAAGAAAAAATGTTTGCTTAATTGTTTAAGTTTAAAAATAGTCCCTTTCTGAAAAGTTTCTGGTTTGCTAAACACAACTCGCCGTTTCTGAAAATGTTCCAAGAAAACTGTGTTTGCAAAGGTGAAGAGGGGGTATTTATAGACTTTTGTGGCTGCGAATATGACGTCAGCGCTCTTTGAGCCTTTGATCCTTTGTTCGCTCAAAGGATCACATGACAACTGTGCGTAATTCTGCGCATGCTCAGAGAATACCATTGAGATGCACGGTTTTGTTTTGTTTTGAATTTTTTTTAAATACCCTGAAAACAGTGTTGCCAACTTAGCGATTTTGTCACTATATTTAGGGAGTTTTCAAACCCCCTTAGCGTCGTTTTTTCCCTAAAAAGCGACTAGCTTCTGGTGTTATTGGAGGCTTAATTTATGACGACTTTTGACGTGAAAGCGCTTGTTGCTCTTACTCTCAACAAGCAGCGGGTGCTGCCGTGGGCACCTCGCTCGTGCCAAAGTGCCCACAGGCGGAGGATAGTCCTCCTCCAGCCGCTATCAGGGCAGAGTTCAACCATGGATCCAGTTTTATACTACACCGTCCTCTAGTGTTCAATACAGGTAAATACACGTGGAAGTCAAGCGCTTGATGTTGCATTCATGTACATTATTGCAACAGCAGCTTTTCAGTTATTGTGTACATACATGACAGTTAATGGTACGCAAATATTTATAGATACGACATGTTGTTATCAACCACATACATACATATATTTTATCCAGTTTTGGCGTATTTAAATATAATAATTATAATGCTCCTTAATATTATTATGTTCTGACGATCTCTTTCTCCCATCGCAATGCTGTAGATTTTCTTCAGCACTCAAAGGCAACACAGTACCTTGCTGCTGCTTTCACGGTGTCCTCCTCTTGTCGCATATCCAGTTAGCTGATCGTTAGCTTTTGTGCCAGAATGGTTTCAGTGGCGTGTCAGTGTTTGTCCGTTGTTTCTGGCTAAGGATAGCGGGGACTTGGTGGCTTTCATGTTCCGTGCAGCTAATCTAAAAACCATCGGCAAAGCGGGAACTGGCTGGTAGGTGGTGTTTGAAACCGCGGAGACGTAACATATTGTTCACGTCCACTCCACTCTCGTGAATCAGCCGGCTAGAGGCAGAGAAAAGGCTAGCTGCGCTAACAGGCTAGCAGCTAAGCTCTTCTGAATATTTTAGGGTGTGTTTGTTGTTTACTTTTTGGCGGCGCTTGTTTAAACTAAGTATAAGTTAATGCCGTGAGTGTTATTACATGTTAACGCTGTTACGTACCAGCAGTTGGTCAGCTTTTAAATTCTGTAGTTCAGGGTTTGTTTTGGAAGGGCTTGGCTAAGTAGCAAGAAAACGTTAGCCCTCGAAGCTAACAACTTAAAGTGCAAACTAAAGCAAGCGTCGATTTAGAGAACCTTGCAACCCACAATCGCGGGCTGTTAAATGGTATCGCCTGAGATTTGTTAATACTGTTTTTCAGCAGTGCACCCATCGTGTGTTAGCCCTGGCTTTGCTTGCTGGGAAGACATGGACGTTATGTAATGTGAATAATCACCAGGCTATAGTCTCAGATATTTTACAGCTAGCTTACTCCCATGTCCAAAGTTGTCACCGTCAATTGGGCTTATCGACAGCTAGCTGACGTGATAGCATTTCAATTTGCATCTGTTTAGTCAGGAGTCGTCTCTTAAGTTTCCTTGCGGTTTGCCCATCAATAGGAATCTACACATAATGGCTACATTCTTATACTCTATACCAATACACGTGCACACGCGAAATCGTTAGTGCTTGTAAGTGCTTTAGGTATCTGATTGTCCACTCCTGGTGTGAGATAAAATTGTATTTACCCTCCTTTTTGCTTAATCTCAGGCACTTTCGCCGAACGATGGACGAGCTGGTCCATGACCTGGTGTCAGCGCTGGAGGAGAGCTCAGAGCAAGCTGCCCGTGGTGGTTTTGGTGATGGAGGTGACCATGCACTGGCAGTGGGCTGTCTGCTAAAGAGACAGGCTCGGAAGCGGAGGGGTAGGAAACGACGCTCAGACAACCCACATCCACCGTGGGAGACGGGCCACCTCAGTGAGGGTTCAGAGTCCAGTGTGGAGGAACATAAGGTGAGATAGGGTGAATTGAATAGGGACTGTGGACAAGACACATCTGTTTGAAACCCTGTGTCAACAGTGTTACCTAAGACCAGCTGAGCCAGTTTTACTACATTTGAGGATGTAGTTATCTGGCTTGCTGTAGTTGTTTTGAGAAGAGGAGAAAAATGTAACTGGGGGGGGGGGGATCCAAAATATATTAAAATAGTGTGGCGTTTTGGACAATAGCAAACATTTTTATTTGGGTAAAAATGTGTCTGTGTTTCATAAATCTGGCCCCACTGCTGTTGCTTCTGTCTTAGCTGACATACTCGTGTTGATGCAAGTGTCTTAATTTAGCATCAGCATCACAGCCTGGTATTCACCACAGTGTCATTTGTTGCAGGACTACCGTGCCAGTACAGGAGCTGTCTCTGCTGCCAATAGCCATGCCCGTGACAACAGTGACTCAGATGAACAACTTGGCCCCAAACGGCGAATCCCCTACACAGCCGACATGGGGCGAAGTAAACGGCCGCTCTGGCCGGATGACCTGGGTGTCCTGGGCTCAGCAGAGGGGACTCGAAGCCTTAGGCGACGACGTAAGGTCAAACGCATGGCTGTGGACCCACCCATAGATCCAGAACCTCCCACCTCCACTATGCTTGGGCCACCGCCTGTACCCAAAGCCCGTGTTGGTGGCAAGCCACATAGACTGGGTGCAAGTGAGGGAAGAGGTGCCATGGAGTTCTGCGGAGGTGGACTGGTAGAGCCAAGTGGAAACAAAAGCAGAGTAAAAAAGAGGAAACTGGCGACACACCGGCTGGGAGTGGAAGCTGCTGATGAAGGGGTTGTGGTGGAGAGTGAAGACCCCGTCTGTTCTCCAACAGACGGGTCCAAAGACAAGATGGAGCTGGAGGAGCAAAAGGGCTCGGATGAGGACATGAGTGACAGGTGGTTAGTGTTTTGCCTTTCTTTTTATGCCTCGTAATTCCCGATGTTGTAGCTCCCTCTGTATGTACTACTGTGTGCGATTTTTATGGAGTCTTAGTGTCCGTTTGTGGTACTGCAGGCAAGGGAGTGTTTGGGGCTGGTTGTCTAAAATTAATATCCTTTTTTAAATGTTTTTGAAATGTCTGAAATGTGTTTGGTGCATAGATCACCAAAAAGAAGCGACTATTTAAAGCTAAAATGTTGCCAGTTCCAGACTAGTTAGTTCTCATGCATGTTCTTTGATGGCTGCTTTCATTTAGAATGTATTGGGAACTTATTTTATTGAATGAAAAATAGTTGAAAAAAAAGAAGAAAAAAATCTAAATGGAAACTTGCTAACTACCATCTAGCGTTTCCCTACTCGTTGTAGGGCTAGTAAGGTTATTGTTGTGGCTTTGATGGTAATGAACTGTCTGGAGTCTCTCATCCTGGGGCTAGACAGGCTTTTTCCATCATGAACTGCAGCTGGCAGAGGTAGTCCTTATTCTACTCTTGAGATCATTTGTGAGCTGAAGGGGGACTTGAACAAAAATTGCCACCAGGTGGATAGCTGTGCTGAGCTCATCAAGGCTGCAGAGCAGAGGAAAGATTAAGGTTGCCAGCAGTAGTTCAACATGGGGGAGATTATGTTACTGTTGTGTTTTATATTATCACAAAGTGTCTAAGGTATTATTTATTAGCATTAATGTTATTTGCAAATGCATGGGATATATGTGGATTTGTGATATAGTTATGCAGTGGAGAAACACTTGGTTGAATTTCCTTTTCTACCATTTTTTCCTCAGTGAGACCAGCAGTGTGAGTAACAGCAGTGATGGAGGCCTCTATACAAATGATGAGGGGAGGCAAGGTATGTACTGAGATGTGTACTGAGGTATGTGTCAAAAACTGTCTGGCATGTTGCATAGAAGTGCACACAGAAGTGAGGATTTTGTGAAAGGGTAAGGGTCCGCATCTGCACACAGTGGTTGTGTTGGGTTGTGTTTTGTAGGAAGTGCATGCAATCTAATTTTAGGGTATTTTCACACCTATAGCTCGCATACCCTGGTCCAAGTCAGTTGATGAGTTTGTACTTGTAACTTGTAGCTTTTTCCTGTGGTTTGGTTTCTATTGACGCAGAAAAAAAAGTCAAAGTGAACCAAAATGGGTCAGTACAAACCACATAAGAACATTTAGTCCACTTATTTTGTCTGGAGCTCGAGCAAAAAAACTAAGTACAGGAAGATGAAGGTGCTGTGTTCTGGCTGAGTGTCCAACATGGGGAATTTACATTAATTTTACAGCTAGTTGCTAACACGCACTGACTATTTGTACTGTTTGTGAATAACTATGGTACTCTGCCGCACCCCAGAATGCAAAGCACTCCTGGCTATGTGAAGATGTTTAGTTCAGACTTGCAGCATGCACCTGGTAGTTGACTCAGATTGCATTCACACACCATTTGGAATCGGACTTAGACCACCTCCTCTAAAAGCGTTTGGTGTGGTTGTTTGCTCTGTACCTGAGTGCGATTACCCTGTTAACACCTGCACAAGTGAACTGGACTGAGGGGGGAAATGAACCAGAGTACAGTTTAAACAGCAAAAAACAGCGCAGGTGTAAAAACAACATAAAAGCACTTCTCTCAAACATCTTGCTAGCTTTTAGAAACTGTGTTCTCCTCTTTTGTCGTTATTGATTATTGATCCTTCCCAGTTATTTCTAAATATGGTGAAATTGCTTTTTATTTCATTTTGTATATGAGTTTAAGCAGCTTTTCTGTGAGGTCCCATTTTTCATACTCCTTCTTTTAGGTGACGATGAGCAGAGTGACTGGTTCTACGAGGGTGAGCCGGGCTCCGGTCCGGGGCCCGGGGGTGCTTGTGGGATAGCAGGAGTTGTTCCCTGGTGGGAGAGGGAGACTGGGTCAGAGGAGCTGGATCTAGCCGACCCTGTCTTTAACAGCATTCTCACTGGATCCTTCCCACTCATGAGCCCTGGGGCACAGAGAGGTAGGCTTCTGGTGCTTGCTTTCACAGTCACATTTGAATCACTTAGAAACTTGGACACAATGGCAATTATTTTTCTCCCCCTCCCTTTTTTGGTCAACCATCCAAAGCAATGGTGGCTCTAAAGAGGGGTGAAGAACAGACTGTAGGTTTGTATGTAAAAGAATGTAAGGAGTCATTAGCTCGTTTAAAGATGCCCAGATTTGCACTGGGAGAAACAAGCATGTACTGAATTTCTCTGAGCTGGATTAGAACTGGGATATGCTGCTCCATTGAGAAAAGGATGTGAAGATGATGCTCCTAGGCAAGAGGATGGGCAAAGAGGAGTTTTATGAATGTGGTTGGTTTGACAGAGAGAGGACGGGGACTAGGTCGAAACCAACGATCTCCTGTGGTGCCCCCTAGCTGGAGCAGATGGAAGGAGTAGCTTTATAACATATAATGTAATATAATATCTAGTATGAGGGGCAAAGTGAAGATACTGTAGTGAAAAGTTGTTGCAGTCTCACTAAAGACCACTAGGAGGCAAACGGTTCACACTGACATATCAGCATTACAGCAATAAACTGATGTGTGGAATAAGAGAGTAACATCTCTGAAGAAAGGCTTTGTTTGCAGTGTTCAGCACCAAAAAGAACATTTTTCAGACTTGTGCTGCATGAAGCTTTCTTTCGAGTGTCCTCCAGTTTTGGTAATGACAGTACCTTTAATCTAGCTTCCCCCCCCCTTCACACCTTGTTAGTCGTGACATATCATCTCCTACCTATTTTCCAACCAACGTGGTGCTGGTGCCTAATTTACCTTCACATCAGTGCCCAAAAGCTGGAGCCCACATCACACAGCATAGTTGCTGGACGTAAAGCTGGAGCAACTTTGCAGATTTGTTAGACCACAGGTTTATGCCACAGCCACCCTACATTAAAGGTACTGTCATTACCAAAACCATTTTTTATGTTTCTGCAATGGATTATCCACCAGTATGTGCAAGCTGTTTAATCAAAATGATTGTTAAAATATAATTGTTGTTCTTAGCCATGATTTTTCAAATGTATTGTTTTACAAAAAACATAGAAAAAATATTAAAGTTGCTTATTTTTGATTAAGATGCCAAATTAATTCACTTGAATTCCTAAACAGAAAAATGAGTGAATTCAGTTTGAAATCCATCGATCCTTTTCAAAATGGTAAATCGTTGAGAACTCAATGAAAAGAAAAGAGTCTGCATCAAAGCACTTCTTGATGCTGGGTATGCTTTGAGACAACATTGGGCAAGACTTAAAGTGTTCTCACAGTGTGGTCATGTATGCTGTGGACCAATCAATTGCTGAGACTGATGCTTGGAAAATGTGCAGAGGAAGAGGCAGAAAACAGCTGTGCAGTGCTTCAAAGTTTTAAGTACTAAAGGCAGAAAGAAAATCACTACTGATATAAAGGTCTTCAGGATGACAATAAGCAGAGGGCTGAAAAAACGAGGCTTAAAGAGAAGGCTAGCTGCTAAGAAGCCATTGTTGAGACATCCAGGAGCACAAACACTGGACTGCAGATGCCTGGAATAAGGTACTGTGGCTGTAAAAGTTAAAGTTTAAACTCTTTGGTCAGCATTGTTGTGTTTATGCCCAAGAAAAGCTCCAGAATGTTTCAATGCTAGATGAAATGCACCTACGGTGGTGATTCCAGTATGCTTCCATTTCTGTGAAAGCTCCGAAGGAGGCCATAAAAATGAATCGTTTTGGTAATTATGTGTGAATTAGCACTATTTAATTGTCAGGTGGTCTAATAAATTTGTTGAATTCCATACATCATACTAAGATTACCTCAGCTTCCAGTGGATAATGCTCTGTTTACAAACCTGTTGAAATATAAGCTGGGATTTCAAAAGATGTATCAGTGTTTTGTTACCTTGAAATGTTCCTGACCCAACCGATTGAGTGATTTCACTGATCTTATCGTAAGGTTAAATAATGATGAACCTGCGCTGGTGTTTGTCAGGTTTCCAGGCCCGGTTGAGCCGCCTTCATGGCAACCATCAGGTACCTGAGGCAGGGCTGCAGGGAACCTCCAGTCAGGGCTTCAGCGAAAGATTGAGCAGACAAACTCAGGACACCCACGAGTGAGTTCTTTCTGCATGATCACTTTTTCCATTTTATGAAAGATGCTATTTAAATAAGTAACCTTGGTGTTGAAGAATTAATAAAAGTAACTTAAAAACCTGCAGGATATGATAAATTTTATACTGACATCATAAAAGCATTTTATTTGACAACAGAGAAGCATGATGAGACCTTATTCAGCTTTTGCCTGTGTGTTAGCTAATGTGAGAAAGATCTTGATAATCCTGTTTTCTTTGGGAGATCTGCACTAGTTTCTGTGGTTGACGAGAAGCAATAGTTTCTGTGTAATGATACCATAATATCTCCGACAGGCCGTGGTTCAGCTCAGGCTCAAGGAGAGAACACGGACAGGTAAGCTGTCTCGCTCTCTCTTTCTTTTTTTTCCCTTTTATTCCTTTTATTGTGGAATAAAAGGGTTTGAATCCACTCAGAGGCCATTCACTGTCCTTCCTTCACCTGTGCTCTCTCCCCAGCTTTCCTATCCTCTCTACACCCACCTAAAAAAGGCTAAAAAAAAAAAAAGCCTCCAAAATGACTTTAAAATGCAGAATACAAAGTTCATTCCAGGGGTAACTCGCTCTTTTGTGTCTCCCTCATTGCCCCTTCAGTTGCACTGGGACCCACTCTCAGACAGAGGGCATCGGAGGACCTGCTCAGTAAAAACAGCAAGCAGGTGAGAACAGTTTGACTTCGTTGGGTTTTTTGTTTGTTTGTTTTTGTTTTTGTTAAGGGATGAGAACTTTTCTTGTTATTTAAGATCAAATGGGTGCTATCATATTTTTGCGTGTCTTGACTGGTTTTACAGACAGACCAGCGGACACCTCGGCTCGCTCTGCACAGGGGATATCAAGCGGAGGCGCAAAGCAGCCCCCCTTGGCTCCACTGCACCTTCAGGTATTGAACACCTAGCTTCACCTAGCACACCATCTGGCACTTTATACCAACTGCTCCTTTTATTGTATTTTTGGCTCTCTTCTGTTCTCCTCTCCCCCTCCCCCTCCCCCTCGTTGAGCTCAATGTGTCCAAGCTTTCCTTCACACCTTCTGCTGTACAGACTGGGATGAAGTGTGCGCTTTAGCTGCATATTTTTGAGAAAGCGGATCTTTCTCCCTTCATATCCTCCCTCCTGCACAACCTTCTCTCATTAATAAAGCCCTTTCCTTCCTAAGCTTTGCTGGACAAGAGTCAGCTGGCTAAATAACGCTGCCACAGCAGAGATACTGGATTAGCCGTTAGGCCCCCCACTCATCCCCTCCACCTCCTCCAAAAAAAAACTACTCCTCTTACCTCTGGGCCAGTTTATCCTTTTGGAGGAGGAAGGACGAGTTAATGCTAATGTTGGCCCTGTAATGTATTTAGTTTGGAGCTTTATCTTGTTTTTGATTGTAATTTATACCTAAACGCTGACATTGTATCCACATTAGTGTACTGAAGTGTTTTATGAGATTAAGTTGGCTGTCACTTGTGGGTTAAAGAGTCATGCATGCTTTGGCTCAGGTGCAGGCTTCTTTAATTTATGCCCAGGCCCAACAGAAAGGTAAGCATTTGTGTTTAAAAACAGAAGAAATGGAGCACACATTAAAGAAATTGGGCAGACAAAAAAAGTGTAACCAAAGATTAATTTCAACTTTATGAGGTCCTTATTTAAGGTGGCTGCTTAAAAACTTGGATAAAATCAGTTAAATAGGGCGGCAACACCCAGCAAGCACATGGAAAACATTACCACTGTCTGCTGGGCTGCCAAAGTATCATTGTGGCATATTCAGTGTTGCATTGTGTACATATCTGACACTCACTTGGCGCATATTTGTACTCTGAGGCCAAATGTCCTTCCTGGCGTGCTCGAACCCTCAGACGGTCGCGTCTGGAAATGAGCTTGCAGCTTTACTCTGCCCTGCATACAAATGAAAGGAGGATTAAAAAGGGTAATAGGTTGCACTCTGTGACTGGACTGGGAACTTACAGGAAGAGGGAGGACAAAATGATCAGTGTCTGAGACAGACACGGATGATCTTCCCTTCACTGCTTGCATTTGTTACACCATTGAAAATGTGGCCAAGTCAATTACATGGTTACGTTTATACTAAAGCTGAACCACCAGATAGACAGAACGTCAGATCTGTAAATAAGAAAGAGGATTTTAATGTTTTAGGGTTAATGTATTGTAAATCCAAAAAATACTGCTAGTAACTTTTTTTTTCACTTCTAATTTCTTTAAAAGTGACTAAAAAGCATAAAATGTTTTGCCACATATTAAATGTATAATGTTAAAAAAAAGGTTGGCGAGTGGTTGCTGGTTGTAAGTAGGTTGACAGTAGGTAAAAAGACCTATATGGTGCTGCACTGTAAACCTTCTTGCAATTGCTTTGTTCGCAAGCAGGCCGCCACTAGTTTGCATGCTTGTCTGCAAATTACTTGCCGAGCGCATTCTTTACTTTAACTTTGAAGCGAGACAGTCTTGCACTCTTGCAGACAGTGTGTTGCAACCAAAGCAAATACAAGATGGTTTTTGGTGCAGCACCTTATTTGCAACCGATTTCCCCTGGCTACAGCCGACAGCCACAAACTGGTTGAGATGTACAAATTTTTCACTGAGCGATCTCTAAGCTTGTGTGATTAAAACATAACAGATCTAATATTGGACCTAATTGTTTTGCACATATCAACTTCAAAAAGCTTCAAAACAGCTGTTTTGCCTCAATATTCCAACCACTGGATACATTTCAGATGTTTTGTCCTCGATTTATATGACTAAAAAAAAAAAGCTAGCAGTTTGATAGTACTATGACAAACTAGTTATTTAACATTTTTCTGGTGCCAATTTATTCCTGTGTAGTTCAAGGAATTTCATGTATTCAGTGCATGTATTCCTTGACTCTGATGTATCTTGTCATCGTTTTATAAACCAGTTATTTATTTTTAAGATTAAGGTTAGAGGTCAAGTTTCCTATGATAACAAAGATGTCACCTACATTCATACCATATGCACATCTACCAGAAGACTGAGAGGGTATCACTGGCAGCCACCAGTACTTTTTCCCCTTCTAGTACAGTCCCAGCTAAATGGACTGAAATTTATATAAATAGCCGTTCTTTACTCTGACTTAGTACTCGAAGCACTCCTTACACTGTGAACTCCATTCACAGACATAGCAATAGTAATACATAGCAATAAGGCACTAAGGACAAAAGGCAGGTCTACCTTACTTTATTTGGGGGAGGAAAAAATTTGTTGCTTGTTGATGGCTACGGTCTACAGATGAGAGAAAGTAATCAGAAGAGTTTATGTACCACTTACCTGTGATTGAATTTCCTGTTATGTTGTTTACTATAATGCTATATGCTATAACTGTCTCTAGCTTTGTGTTTAAACTGTTTGTGGGGCACGTCAAACTAACTTTATTATTTACTCATTTCACGCGTACATTGTCTGAGCTGCTTTGAAGATCTCCTTTATAGCTGACACTTGTACGTAGTGTTTAACATGGTATGAGTGAGGATGCGTAGACAGAAATTATTAGCTTTCTTTAATCAGTGAACTTTGTTTTCAGGAGTGGTCGGGGAGAACGCACCTCCGATCCCTGAGACCAACATGGGGAACCGCATGCTGCAAACCATGGGTTGGAGTCCAGGGATGGGCCTGGGTCCTGAGGGAAGAGGCATTACCGAGCCCATCCGGGCCACCCAGAGACCTAAAGGCACGGGTTTGGGTTTCAGCTGAACACCCAGAGTGAGGCCAGGATAATATACCCCACCAAGGAGGGACGAGATGAAATTCTCCTCAGGGTTATCTAAAAACACACACACAAAGGTCTGGAATAATCCAGGCGCACGAACAACAAGAGAAGGACGCTGCTCATCATAGCAAACGACCTGAGATGAAACAAAAATTAAACTTTCCCATGTTGGGGAAACTGCAAGAAGACTGAGATCTCTGCACAGACTCCTTAACATGTGAAAGTAAAGGACGGAAAGTGATCCACAGACAAGAATGGCAAATGCGTCTTCTTGAGAAACTCCATGTTGGAGAAAGTGATGTGATGTGATGTCTCATCCGTTACCTCAGATGCCAGTGTTACTGGTCAGAGAACTGGGGTGCTGTTGACTACATACAAATAAGTATTGCTTCAGGTCGCCAGTGACGACAGCAATGGTTCTTCAGTCGGCTGTGTTGGTTAGTGAATCAATGATAGGGTTTTTGTCTGATGTTGCACAATAATTTTAAAATCAATTGTTTGAGAAGGCTATACCTCAAGATTATTCTTATTTTTTTTAATTGTAATGAATTTAGGGTACGCTTTATTGATGTAAGTTTGGATATCTGGATGTTTTTCCTCGCCCAATCCCTTTTTTTTTTTTTTTTCTTAATTGTTGATTTAATTGGAGAAATCTTGTCATGAGAATGTTTTTAATCTCTCTCCCAAAAAAAAAGAAAGGCTGAAAATCCAAGTTACAAATTTCTCTTCATTTAGCACCAGTATGCACAGATTTGCACACGAAGCCCGAAGTTTCACCACACCCTGCTTTTCGTTTCATTGAACGTAATTTAAGGTTTTTAAACAGTGTTGCTGCAAACGTAGCCAAGAGTAAGCACGCTTTGTGACTTTACACAGTCACACGGTATGATATGAGCATTTTGGCGTTTCAGTGCACACTCTTGAAGGAAGGAACCTGTGTTTAACCGGTGCTTTCCGCTTAATTTGCTTGATTAGACCTTTTCGCAGGATTGTGGGGAAGTGCGGGCTGGCTAACGTCTAATCAGACACCTGCGGCACAACACAGGAAGTCAGACGCATTTATTAAAATAAGTTGGCTGCTTACCTAATTGTATTATTTACTATGCAGCTGTTGGGTAATTTAACCCCATTAGCATATTGGCCAGACACAGCGGATTGTTGTGGATATATAGCTAAAGTAAATTTAAGTGCAGCTGAGAGATCAAGGGGCCAGAAAAAAAATAGAAAGATGTTGATTAGAAATGGTGCAGGATATTTAAAGTGTAGCAGTATTTCCTCTGAACAGCTTTTAACCTTAGGACCTAACTTACCTCATTAAACTCGTGACAGTTTAAAGACATGTGAGTGGAGCTCTGATGTGGAAGAAAAGGGTATACAGTAGAAATTTAGCCTCTGTAAACCAAAACTGTTAAATCTGAAACTAAGCAAAAAAGTCTAACGCATTAATTGTTTATTAATTTGATTTTAGATTGTCTTTTTTTTGTAAGAAGGCTCAAAGGTAACCTTCCTGATGATTATAATTTGTTAAAAAATCTCTACATTTTTACTGCAGCCCCAGGTAGAGGATGGATTTTGAAGAAAGGGGGGAAAAAAGCCTGATTACTTAGGTTAAGGTGACTCAGCATTTTTATGAGCACTACATTTCTTTGACCTAAAGTTCTTGGGTTACTTTTGCAGTATGTTTTGGTCATTATACATCCGTACAGTGAAGCGCTGTCCAATCAGCTTTGCAGCATTTGGCTGAATCTGCACAGAGACTATTGCTCTGTACACTTCACAGTTCATCCTGCTGCTTCGGTGAGCAGCCACATCATCATCACTACAGCACGTTACTCCAAGTAACCAGGCTCTTCTGGAACCATACATGCTCATGCTTTAACACTGTGGTTATGTTGTAGATAATGGGCCTTTCCTATCTTCTCCATAAATCAACTGTTTCCACTAGGAACATCTATGTTTTTTGTTTGTTTAAAAAAAAATTTAATAGTTTAAATATCTAATCTGGGCTTCTTGTTCTGAAGGGGTTGGTTTGCACATTGTCGTAAACCCCATGTATTTCCCTTCATGAAGGCGTCTCTTGATTGTAGACTTTGACAATGATATACCTACCTCCTGGAGAGTGTTCCTGTCTTGGATTATTGTGAAAAGGTTTTTCTTTGTCAAGGAAAAGGAATTCTGCGATTGTCAAATTTTCTCTTCTGTTGTTTTTCAGGCCTTTTTCTCTTGACCAGCGCCTTCCTTACACCAAAATGTACCAAATTGCTGATTTTCTTTGTTTTTTTTTTTGCCTATAGAACTTTGACTGGTTTTGTGTTTCTTCTTTTTTCGGCCTGATGATGGGCTCTTTTTAATTGCATAGTATTATGTAGATTAGTGGTTTAATAAAGCAGCAGTTTATGCAGCATTTAAGTGTTTAATTTCTTTTACTAATTTACCCATATTAACAACAACGGGATTGCATTTTGAGAGTCGTCCTGTGGAGTTAAACCAATATTTTTGAGGCTTTGAAGTTGGTTGAACAGAGCATCAGGATCCGCAGTCGTTTAGGACACTGAAATCAAGTTGTAAAACGTACATCATCAATGAGGCAACTTACTCTGATCAGGATGTGAGCCCTTTAAGTACAAACCAGGAGAACTTTCTTCTCTGGTTGCTCTTGAGACGGCACGGTCGCAGCTCCCTTTTGATGAAGAGAGCTTTCTGCAAATAAGAACGTGGCCTCGAAATATTTCCAACTCTATAAACGCACACATCCCATGCACATGCTGACTCAACATCACTGAAATATGATGCTCGTGCTCTCTCTGTCTTCTTCCCTCCTCTCTTTTTCTCCCATCCTTTGCAAGGCTGCAATAGAAATCCCTCCTCTGTATCTGTGGGAATACAGGAACCCTGTGTGTCCTCTACCCTCCCTTCTACTCACCTCCTCCCTCTGCATATAAGGGTACGCTGGCTTGTGTTCTCCCTCACCCCTCCAACAGTCTGCCCACCACCCACCCCTGCTCTTAGACACACTTTTTGTCTGACACACTCTCTCAGGACTCCCCCTGCGAGCAAGGTAGGCAGGTAAACTCAGCACTGGATCAGAGTGAGACGCTGAGAACAGAAAGAGAGGGAGGGAGGGTGAGGGGAATGTGTGTGTTTATGAAATTTTTGTGTGTTGGGAGTGTGTGTGCGTGCGTGCGCGTGCTGCTGCATCGCTGAGCTACAGAGACCGGAGGCGAGGAGAGCTGGAGCGTTTGTCCTTGAGACTGACTGACTGCAGCTATAGAGCGGAGGACCAGCCAGCCAGCCAGTGCATGAAACTGACAGTGAGTACTGAGCGAGAGCAATAAGGCTGAGCAGACGAAGAAGTAGTAGATGCAAGGTTTCTTTTAATTGCAGCAAATGTGTTGGTGATGTGGTTTTGTGTGTGTGTGTTTTCTGTTTTTGTTCCTTCGAAACAGTCCAGTGTGGTGTTGAATTGGAGCAGAAGTGTGTGTCTGTGTGTGTGCGTGTGCCAGAGCAGGTGAAGGTCTGCTCTGATCCCAGGTGAACTCATCTCTCAGGCTTTTTTTTAATTTTATTTTATTGGCTCACATCAACACTTGCTTCTGAGCCTTCATGTAAGACTTTGTAAAGCGGTTGGGCAGTTGTTAAGTGTGTCTGCGGCAGTGTCCTCTGTTTTGTTTTTTCTTTTTTTGTCTGCATGCTACCCCCCCCCCCCCCCCCCCCCAAAAAAAAAAAAAAATGTCAGTAAACACAACATCTGTCCAGCTCTGCCCCCACCACCACCACCACCCAACCCCCGGGCTTCTCTCTTCTTCCTCGGTGCTTCTGTTGACAGATCGATAGTTATGCATCTATAATTGGAAGTCATTATTTATGGCGGCCCTCCAAAGCGAGTCATTATCATGTGTAATCTTGCAGAAAATTACATTTTGACTGGTCTACCTTGGCACGGCCGGGATTAAGTGCGCTGTGCTGAGCGGGCTGAGGGGATGACCGGAAGGTGGGGTCACCGCAAGGACCCCACCCCCGATGCCTGGTGAAAGAGTTGGGCAGGAAGGGGAGACGTTTAATTGTGTCACATCTCACCTCAAAAGCTGAAATATACCAGAGGTGTATAAGGGGAAAGAAAGAACAGAAGCACAGTGTGAAGAGGGAAGGAGGTGAAATAACTGAAGGAAGAGACCTGGCATTAGCTCGACGTGGTACGAGACACCGTTGTGAAATGAGACGAGGCTCACCTGTGGAGCTGCTGATAAAATGGGTTTGGCTGGGTTTGAGGCGGATGGGCAGATAGACGGAGAGCCAGAGGGTGAATTCATAAAGCTGTGGTAGAGGGAAAAAAACGGATAATGTGACAGGATAAGCTCTTTCACTCTATGTGCGTTTTGCGTTGATTTGTTTATGCAGACATGCTGACATTGAGCTCGAGGGTAAAATTTGCCACCTGTGGAGATGTAAGTGAGATGATGAGATGGGCTGCATGGTGTTTCTGTGTATGTTTGTGTGTGTGTGTGGGTATGTGAAATGTTTATAATAATTCCTGACATCAGCATTAGGTGTGTGAGATGCTGATTCCCAGGATTCAATGTGCCCCGGTCCCGCATCAGTGGATCCTCACCAGAGACCGGTCGGATAACAGTGTCTGTGCATCTGTGTAAAGGAGGGTTAACAACTTGTGAAAAAGCACCAATGACAAAGATAATACTCTTGAGTAAAAGTACCAATAGAACAGTGAAAATACATGCAAAAATCTTGCACTTTAAAACTCTACTAAAGGAAAGGCTCGGGGATATAAACAGGTAAGATTAGCCTGCTTTTACTCCCTTTCTCCTGCCTTTCTTGATTACATTAATAACAATGTAGGACTACATGTATAATAGTCTTCTAGGCTAACATTACTCCTATTAACAATTTGAATGTCGACAATGTCAGACTGAGAAAGCATTTTGAAGATTTCCTTATCTTCTTCTTGTTATTATTGTTATTATCACACTGAAATTATGCATTTTGAATGAACTTTATGCATTTTGTGGTCGTATTTTATTCTCTTTTTTTGTCATATCTCACAGGCTTGTTTTCTTTTCTATCATTCTAATGTTTTATGGCTTTATCAATGAATTTGATCCTAATGATGCCACATTAGTTCTGCCATCTATGCAAATTCCATCTATGCAGTTCTAATAAATGAAGCTAGTTATTCACAGGTCATATTTGCCATGGGTCCTGAATTAAAGCAAAATACAGCATGCAGTTGGGGGTCATGGTACTCTGTCGGGCATTTTAAACAGGAAAGACTCCATCACCGCATTCATCACCTTCATGGTTTCACACAGAAAGTTGTCAGAACATGTCTTTGCTTTTTGCAGATGATGTGGTTCTGTTGGCTTCATTGGACGATGACCTCCAGCTTGCCCTACAGCAGGTTGTATATGAGTGTGAAGGAGACGTGATGAGAATTAGCACCTGCAAGTCTGAGGCCATGGTCCTCAGCTAGAAAAGGGTGGAGTGTCCACTATGGGTCAGGAATAAATTGCTGTCCTAAGTGGATATATACATATATATATGAGTAAGAGAAGAGGGAAGTGGTATATTGGTGCAGAACATGCTGCACGTTTGAGGAACATTTTTCATTTCTAAAGAACTTCACCATTATAACACAGTTCACTACATAGTGAACTTACAGGATAGAAACAAAGTATCAATCCCCTCACAATGGTCAATATCAATCTGCCCTCCTCTACTGTAGTAGACTCTGTTTTCTGCCCGTTACGGTAAAGGAAGAGCTGATAGTGAAGCTGGCTGGCTGATCGACATTTCCACCCTCACCCATGGCTGTCAGCTGTGGGTAGTGACTGAAAAAATAAGATTACAGTTACAAGTGACAGACTCTGAGAAGATCCGCTACACCTCTTAATCAAATAGAGTCAACTGAGGTGGTTCTGGCATCTGGCTAGGACGCCTTCTAGGTAAGATGTTTCAGGCACGTCCTGGAAGAGGCCCCGAGGCAGACCCCCGACAAGCTGGAGAAATGAAGTCTCGGAGCCGGCTCATTGTGTGCGTTATTTTCATTTTTGATTCGGGTCAAAATGACTGGTGTACTTAAATACAACACAAATAATGTTCACTTGAAATTGATACCAGAGTCAAAAGATGGTAAATAAGCTTTAAAGTAATAATATGGATATAAGCTGCAAGTTATATTAAAGAAAGGTTTCGATTTTTGGTCAATGAAATATGAAAGCTAATTGTAATTTTGCAAAAGTAACAATAATCTATTTTTTTCCTTTAGATGAAATTAATCATATAGCTAATAATGCTATAGTAAGAGATAGGTTGGTTGTCCATGTGATTTAAATGTGTCAGTAGGATGAGAGTTAAATAGTTCAAGTTCAAGTTTACAAAAAAGTTTATTAACTTAAAAAGTAAGAAAGAAAATGCAGAAACTCCAAATACTCAAGTGGGTACGTTTTCTGAATTAAGCTTTCCCTACTTAATCTATTTAATTACTTTAAGCTTTTTGGTTTTGTGATGCTGGTTTAAAAAAACACAGAGAAAAAGAGGAGAATCAATCTCCAAGGACAGAATTTCAATAATGATCATATTAAGTAAATGAAATCCAAGCATACTTTATTTAGAGAAGACGTCAAGTAACTTCTAAATGACGCTATGCACCAAACCTCCTCGACAATATGCACAGGAGGACTCGAGGCTCAAGGGCATTACGTACAGCGAAGGAGAAGAGACGGGAGATGTTCTTGTTTTTTTGTTTTTTTCTGTTTTCTTCCCCTTTCAGCGGAAAGCGCACAGAAACAGAGGCGGCTGACCACAGGCCAGAAGCTGAGCAGTTAATCCAATAGGCTGCTGCTTGTTGAGAATATGAAAGGGTACTTGCTGTAGTAATCCACATTATGTTGTTAGAAGAAGCTCGGTTACATAATCACCCTAAGAACCTCCAGATGGGCTCCTGCCAGAAGACAACATGGCACGGTGACGGGACGGCGGACCAGTGACGTATTTGACTTTGAGCTCGCGCCTCGATGGACCTTGACGGTGCTTTCGAATAATCATCCCTTATCAAACTTGTTCAGCTAAAAGCAGTGTCCCGTTTTATAAATGTCACACACAATCCCTCCACTAGGGGGTAATCTAGTCAATTCATTTAACCAATAACACGAGCCCTTACTCAGTGCGTTTGGTCTCAAATATTCATAAAATACTCTTAAATGAGTCCTAATGAAATCCTGCCTTCCTGAAAGCTTTCCTGTGTATGTTTCCCAGAATGGCTCACCCCCTCCACCCTCCCAGAGGGACTTAACATCTCTAGATAAGTGAAAAAAAAAGAAAAAAAAAAAACCATTTCAAGACCACTGACCCACTAAGGATAGCTGCAGCAGGTTCTAGCAGCTCTAAGTG